TGATTCCTTCTAGTGTATTTTTCATTTCAGTTATTGTATTGTTCATCTCTGTTTGTTTGTTCTTTAATTCTTCTATGTGTTTGTTCTTTAATTATTCTAGGTCTTTGTTAAACATTTCTTGCATCTTCTCAATCTTTACCTCCATTTTTTTTCCGAGGTCCTGGATCATCTTCACTATCATTATTCTGAATTCTTTTTCTGGAAGGTTGCCTATCTCCACTTCATTTAGTTTGTTTTCTGGGGTTTTATCTTGTTCCTTCATCTGGTACAAAGTCCTCTGCCTTTTCATTTTGTCTATCTTTCTGTGGGTGTGGTTTTCCTTCCACAGGCTGCAAAATTGTAGTTCTTCTTGCTTCTGCTGTCTGCCCTCTCCCTTCATGAAATTCTTAATAATTTTTGAGCAAAGGTCCTGCATCTTCATTTTGTACTGGGCCTCAAAATGTATCTGGTAAAAATTGTTTTGATTAAACTAATAGCATTCTGTTCCTAGTATATTGCATTTTTTTTTCTTCTTGCAGTGTACGTGGCTATTGAGATAATCATAAGTTTTCCCTTTTAATATATGAATGTGGGAAATTTTTCGTCATAAATTATCTCTGCATTTATATCCTAAACTCAACTTAACAATAATGGATTTTTAAGTAGACTTAATTTTTTTTTTTTTTTTTTTTGCGGTACGCGGGCCTCTCACTGTTGTGGCCCCTCCCGTCGCGGAGCACAGGCTCCGGACGCGCAGGCTCAGCGGCCACAGCTCACGGGCCCAGCCACTCTGCGGCATGTGGGATCCTCCTGGACTGGGGCACAAACCCATGTCCCCTGCATCAGCAGACGGACTGTCAACCACTGCGCCACCAGGGTAGCCCAGTAGACTTAAGTTTTTAAGAAAAGTTTCGAACTTATTTTAAAAATTTAAAGAAAAATTATGAAGATAATGTGGAGTTTCTGTATACCCCACACCCAGTTACCCCAATCATTAACATGTTATTGTTAATATGGTAATTTGTTATAATTAATGAATCAATAGTCTGTAGTTTATTCAGATTTCCTTGGTTTTTATCTAATGTCCTTTTTCTGTTGAAGGATCCTACCCAGGATACTATACTGTATTTCGTTGTCTCCTTAGGTTCCTCTGGGCTGTGAGTTTCTTAGACTTTCCTTGTTTTGATGACTTTGACAGTTTTGATATTTTACGGAATCCTCCTCTGTTGGAATTTGTCCGATGTTTTTCTCATGATTAGACTGGGGTAATGTGTTTTTGAGAGGAAGACCACATAGGTATATTGTCATTTTCATCATCTCATTTCAAAGGTACATACATTAACATGACTTATCACTGTTGATATGATGACATTAATCACCTCCAGAGAGGGGAGAGTGGATGGAGGTTGAATAAATCACCAGTGGCCAATGATTTAATCAACCATGCCTAAGTAATAAGGCCTCCATAAAAATCCAAAAAGGGTGGGGTTGAGAGAGCTTTGGGGTTGGGGAATATGTGGTGATGCAAGGAGAATGGTGTGCCCAGAAAGAGCATGGAAGTTCTGTGCCCCTTCCCACATACTTGCCCTGTCATCTCTTTCATCTGGCTCTTCCTGCGTTCTATCTTTTTAGACAGTAAGTTAACTTTTTTTCTGAATTCCATGAGCCACTGAAGAAAATTAATCAAATCCAAGGAGGGGGACATGGGAACCTCTTATTTATAGCCAGTTGGTCAGAAGCACAGGTGACAACCTGGACTTGAGATTGCAGCAAAAAATTGTGAGACATGCAAAGATAGAGGAAAGTGTGACCCATACACTGGGAAAAAAAAAAAGTCAACAAAAACTGCCTGTGAAAGCAACCAGATGTTGGTTTAACAGGCAAAGCCTTCAAAGTAGGCATTATAAATATGTTCAAGGAATGAAAGGAAGTGATTAAAGAAGTAAAGGAAGGAATCAGGACAATGTTATATCAAGTAGAGAATATCTTATTGATATAAATAAGATACAAATTATTTAAAAAGAAAACAAATGGAAATGCTGGAGTTGAAAAGTACAATAATTGAAATGAAAAATTCACTAGAGGGGACTTCCCTGGTGGTGCAGTGGTTAAGAATCTGCCTGCCAATGCAGGGGACACGGGTTTGAGCCCTGGTCCGGGAAGACAAACAATCCAACAAACAATCCTTGAGGCCAGTGAGGTGGCCCTGATACTGAGCAGGGCCTCGTGGGGCTCCTGGGCACAAAGCCTTTCTGTGTCCCCCATTTCTTTGATTACAGGAAACAGCCTTCATTCAGCCTCCATGACCTTCCCTGAGTTCCAATAGGCAGATTCAAGCAGTTGTTAATTAAGGAAGGGAGGGGATGCAAGACCTTGTTTCCCCATCAACGGATACACAAAACAATATCTTTGAGCTATTTTGCAGATACTGAAACCCCTCCAGGTGGGAAAAGTTAACGATTAAGGATGGTATGCTGCCCACAAGCATGCAGACCCCAGACCAGTTGGACCTGAGGGTTGATGATGCTGACTTCTGAGGCAGGAGATGGATGGGCTCCAGGCTAGGCATTTATAACTGGCCTCCTATTCACAGTTCCTGCATGAGAAGAAGATGAGCTGCAGGCCGGACATTCATTACCAGCCTGTTTACATTTCCTGAAGCAAGAGACAAACAGGCTCTAGGAGTACATATTTATGGCCAGACTCCTGTCTATATTTTGATATCTGCACCTCAATAGAAAAACCAGCAACAGGAATAGGGTAAATAACCAGACATTGGACACTTTTATGGCAGGGACAGAGACGGGCTAAACCCTGTTAAAAGATCAAGAGGTCATACATTTCCCATCCTTGGGGCAAGGGAGACATTGCACATGCGCTGAAAGGCTCCTTGGGGTCAAAAAGGAGGGGGCACCACCCCATAACATGTGATATTAAGGCCATCCCGTAGGCCTCTGGGCTGTAATCCATATTGGAAAAAAGTTGCGCACGCATGTTGGGGAGGGTCCTAGGGCAGGTCAGGTGTGGAAACAGAAACCAGATAATTGGCCAAAGGTAATCAAAGACCTGGAAGAACTGCCCTATATAAATGACTTAACCTCCTCTTTACTGCACTCCTCCTCATTAGGGAGGATGCCCACACCCTTACTTTCTGGGTGTGCATCTCTGCCTTGCTTCTTTTTTTTTTAAATTTAATTTTATTTATTTTTATACAGCAGGTTCTTATTAGTTATCTATTTTATACATATTAGTGTATACATGTCAGTCCCAATCTCCCAATTCATCCCACCACCACCCCACCACCCCTGCCACGTTCCCCTCTTCCGCCTTGCTTCTATCTTAACTAAACAAACTGTTTCTCTGTGTGCTCTCCCACTTGTTGTTGCGCTATGTCTCTAATAATAAACATTGTACCTGTTTTTACAGTTTTTGCCTCCATGAGAAATGCATTTTTCACTGGGGGCAAAAGCCAGGGGGTATGGTAGCTAGGATTCCTGGTTTTTATCCAGGCTACCCAGGTTCAATTCCTGGACAGGGAATTAACATCTTGCTTCACGCCACCACTCACTGCTGCCTCTCCGAGATCACTCCTACTTACCTCACCAGCAACCCATCAGAAGAATGTCCATAAGCTGATCATGCCCTCTTTGAATAATTACTATAAAACTTCTCACTATCTTCTCCAAGTGGGGGGATGCACGGTTTTGAAGGCATTAGCCCGTTGTGGCCCCCTTTGTCTGGGAAACCAATAAAGCTATTCTTTTCCACTTCACCCAAAACTCCTTCTCCGAGATTCAATTCAGCCCTGGTGTACAGAGAAGCTGAGTTTTTGGCATCAGCCTTGCCTAAGGGCCCACAGTGAAGAAGAGGAGGAAGGAGGGATGGTTCCCAGGTCACCTGCCCTCCTGCTGCAGGCTCTGCCTTTCTGGGCCTGAGCTTCAGCAGCCGTGTTAGAACTCCTGGGTCCCATGAGGCTCCCAGGACTTTGGGGGCACTAAGGGCCTTTTCTGAGGCCGTAAGGCTCTCAGAACTTTTTGGTGCTTCTGGAGCAGTACAGGCCTCACAGCAACCAGAGGTTTGATGCAGACTCCTGGAAGCAGCCAGCACTCATTCCCCGGCCTGGGAAGCCCTGTGGTGGCTGGGGTCTGGTCTCGCTCTTGCTCCCAGAGTCATACATACAATCCAACAGCAAGGACCTCTGCTCTGAGCTCAGGGTCCTGCTCAGCCTGGATGCAGAAGGTGGAGAAGTTCCTCCCTTAGAGGATGCTGGAGTGTGGAGGTGTGGGTAGGGTGCTGAGGGGCTTCTTGGTGTAGGAATTAGTGATGACCTGTGCTTAGATATCCATGTGACCATGAGGCCAAAATGTGGGGTTTTCTCTAATGTGCAGAGGGCATGGGAGTCTTGTCCCTTCCCTCCTGCAGAGTTGGATCAATCTCCCCTCTGCCCTCCCCCATTACTTGTCTCCTCAGGCTCCCTTTCACGCAGGGCCCCAAAGGAGGATCTTGGCATGTCTTGTGAGAGGCCAGAGACTTTAGCAATGCAGAGAATTCTGGAGGCTGAAAGGCAGAGGAAAGGTCTTTTAGTTTTCAGAATCCCAGATTTACCCCGTCTGGCTGTGCAACCTTGGGCAATCATGCCAGCAGTCTGAGACTCAGCTGCCCTGGGTGTTAAATGGCTCCTTCTGCACGGCCCATCTTGGAGGGAAATGATTCAAGAGGGAGGCAGTAGGTAGTAGCAATTCCCCAGGAGAGACGAGCAGGCTGAGCCCGCGGAGCTGGGACAAAGGCAAGTCCAAGGGTGGGTCAAAAAGGGGCCTGGGTCACTTTCTACTCGGGGCTTCAGTGAGGATGGCCCGCAGCAGCGTGGGCGACTCAGCCGGGTCCGCACACCTGGCAACTGGGGGACACTCACTCGGTCGGGCGTACACACCCTGCACCGGGGAGCGGGTGGGGGCGGGCGCGGAAAGGGGCGGGCCCTCGCTGGGCTGGGCGGAGCGGCAGCCGCGGTCGGGAGGTCAGGTAGGCCTGGGCGCGCGATGGGGCGGGGGAGTCCATCCGGCGGGCGGCGCGCGGCGAGTGGACGCGCACGGCTGGCGGAACGCAGGCAGCGCCGAGGGCAGCCAGGCGAACGCTGGGGCTTCGGCGGCGCCTGTCGGAGGCGGGGCAGGAAGGCCCGTGCAGCGCCTTAACCTCGCCGGGCGTGGGGAGAGGGCTCGGCCCGCGGTTCCCGCTGGGGGTGGCCCCCCACCCCAGGCCTCTTCAGAGGACACGTGTCAGTACTTTGTCGTCTCACCCCATGTCATAGCCCCTCCCCCAGGTCTGGGACCCCCCCCCCGTCCGTCAGGCTCCGTTATCCCCAGGCCCAACCCCCCGCTGACCCGCGCGCGGTTCCGGCCGGATCCCTCTCCTCCCTGGCCCGTCTCCCTGGGCGGCGAGCGGCCCGGCCCCCGCAGAAGACACTCGTCAGCACGTTCTCACCCCTGTCATCTCATCCCTCTGCATAACTCACCCCAGGCTTAGGGACTCCGGCCCATTGTCCCCGGACCCAGCCCCTCGCTGAACGCAGGCTCGGCCCTAGCCCCCGCCCGGCGCGTCTCCGGCAACACGCCGCGACCCGGGATGCAGCCCACAAGCTGGGCGACCGTCAGGGAGGCGGCGGGCCGTGACGTGCTGGCTGCCGACCTCCGCTGCAGCTTCTTCGCCTCGGCCCTGCAGAGCTACAAGCGCGACTCTGTACTGCGGCCCTTCCCCGCATCCTATGCCCGCCAGGACTGCAAGGATTTTGAGGCCCTGGTGAGTGTACTTTTCACCTGTGCTGTCCACTGCTTCGCAGGGCACGTTGTCTGTGGAACTCCTGTTAGTGATGGTGCCAGCCCCCGGACTTTACATTCCTAGCCCGGCCGTGGGGAAGGTTTGTTTCCAGGAGCTAAGAACACTCCCAACAACCTTCACACTCCCAAGTGACTCCCAGGGGTGAACTGAGGAATTCAACAGTTGCATAGGCCTCCGCAACATTTCCTAGTGTGGCTTAGGGTGTTGATCTGAATCAGCTGGTTCTGCTAAATAGGAAGTTATCTATCCCTTTGCAAATAATGAGACACCATAAGGCACCAAAGCCACCCGGACTTCATCTTCAGATGAGGTAATATATGGCCAGTACTTTTATAAATTATAACATATGTACAGTACACATGTGAGCTGTTATTTCTCTGATGATTCAGGAGGCACTTAATTTCTTGCAGAGTTCACCTCAGGGTCAGCGTTCCAGATATTAGTTATCTTTGTAATCCAAATGTTTGAAATTACCTAGAAAAATATAACTTGCCAAAATTGATTCTGTAAGAAATACAAAGTCAAAAGCCTATAATCATTAAAGACATTGAATTAGTAGTCAAAGATTTTCCCTCAGAGAAAACTCCAGGCCTACCCAGTTTCATTGGTGAGTTCTACCAATCACTGAGGGAATAAGTAATTCCAGTTTTACACAGTTCTTCCAGCGTATTGAAAAATAGGGTAGTGTAATCTTGATACTAAATCTAATAAGAATGATACAAGAAAAGAAAATTATAGGCCAGTGTCACTCAAGAGTATAAATATAGAAATCCTCTATAAAAGGATCCTGAAACTAGCAATATATAAGAAGAATAATTCCTTATTAATAGGTTGGGTTTATCCCAGGAATACGAAATTAGTTCAACATTAGAAAATCTCTTAATGTTATGAATCACATTAACAGAATGTTGATCATGTTTAGAATCAACAGATGTTTAAAATTATCTCCGATGAGGTGGTCTGTATTGGGTGACCCTCTTTGCTATTGCTCCCAGGTGGTCAAGGGACAAAGGCCCAGCCTCCTGTCCCCTACCAGGTCCATTGCAGCTTAGGCTGGGGATGTGTTGAGGGCACCTCAGGTCTTGACCACAGTGCACAGGGGTTTCGGGTACAGGGAGTGGGAGGTTGGAGAAAGAGGCAAGCAGATTGACTTCCCCCATGGTTTGTTCTGCAAATTCAGATATTTAATTTTGTGAGTTTGTGATATCAGAGTGTTGGAGATGAAACTTTCTTCAGTTTTGTCAGTGGATATTTATGGAGCTCCTGTTGTGAGCCAGGTGCTGAGAATACAGAATTAAAGACTCAAGGAGAGGTTAACAGCCTGCTCAGCTATACTATGGGGTAAGCCCTATATATACAACATGGAAGCCCAGAGCAGGACTCCAGGCCTTGGCAGTAGGCTGGAGTCAGGGAGCACTAACCAGGGGCGGTTATGATGCCCTGCTGAGTCCCCAGGGACATGGAGGATTTCAAGGAGCAGAGAGGAGGAAAGGGGTATTCCAGGAGGAGTAGCAGGATGAGCAGAAAGCCAGGACCTCACCAGGAAGGATAAGTCTGTACTTTAGTGTGGCTTTCATGGGGAACAGAAAGAGATGAGGCCAACCAGAGCAAGCAGGACTGGGCATGTCCTGCCCAGATGTGTAGACTTTATCCTTGGGCTGGGAGGTCATTGGTGACATCCAGGATGCATTTCTGAAAGACCCTTGTGGTGGCAGGGGGACAGAGAGATCTGTTCAGGAGGAGTAGAGGGAGGAGGAGAGATTGGGGGTCAGAGGGACCAAACTCACCAGAGATGATGCCTCACAATGCGCTTTATTAATTTTTGCCAAGAAACATCCAAATGGATTAGAATGCTCAGTGTGTTCTCTTTCTGCTGGAACAGAATCGGGTTACTTTGATGAATATGGGATAAATACAAAGGGATCTTTGGAATTGCTTTGATTTATTCATGCCTTTTAAAAAATTTCGTTTTAATTACACAAGTAATGTTTGATTATATTCTTGTTTTAAAAAAAGCAAGTGATAAAGTGTAAGCTCCCCTGATAGAGCTCACCCTGTCCCATATCCCTCCCCTCGGTTTGAGGCATACCCTTCCTCCCATACCCGTTAATTTCTTAGGAGAGCATTGGCAATATGGGTAGCCCCAAATAGCCTCCTCCTCGGTAGAGACAGACTGTCCTGCACGTGGGTCTCCCTTTGGGGACAGTTTTAGACAATGCACTCTTTCTCTTGGGGGTCACTGGAGAAACACAGACAGATTCTTACCATCCCACCCTGTTGCTGTATTCCTTATTGGGCACTGGTGTTAGGGAAATTAGCCCAGGCCATGCAGATTCCTGGCTTTCTGTTAGGCATGGCTTTCCGGAGCTCTTTCTGAGGAGAGGCCCCCCCACCAGGCAGGACCCGGCGCGACCTCTGGGGGCATGCACATTCTTAGATAAACACGCTTTAGGTTTCATTTTGTCACATGTTACATGAGTTAAAGAAAAGCTGCCCAGAACTTAGCATCTAACCTGTGTCTCTCTGACTCAAAGGTTAACTTTTTAAAAAAATAAATTTATTATTTATTTATTTATTTATTTATGGCTGCGTTGGGTCTTCATTGCTGCGCGCGGGCTTTATTTTTAGTTGTGGCGAGCGGTGGCTACTCTTCGTTGCGGCGCGCGGGCTTCGCATTGCGGTGGCTTCTTTTGTTGCGGAGCACGGGCTCTAGGTGTGCAGGCTTCAGTAGTTGTGGCACATGGGCTCAATAGTTGTGGCTCGCGGGCTCTAGAGCGCAGGCTCAGTAGTTGTGGTGCGCGGGCTTAGTTGCTCCGCGGCATGTGGGATCTTCCTGGACCAGGGCTGGAACTCGTGTCCCCTGCATTGGCAGTATTCTTTTTTTTTTTTCTTTTTCCTGTACGCGGGCCTCTCACTGTTGTGGCCTCTCCCGTTGCGGAGCACAGGCTCCAGACGCGCAGGCTCAGCGGCCATGGCTCACGAGCCCAGCCGCTCCGCGGCATGTGGGATCTTCCCGGACCGGGGCACGAACCCGCGTCCCCTGCATCGGCGGGCGGACTCTCAACCACTGCGCCACCAGGGAAGCCCTGGCAGTATTCTTAACCACTGTGCTACCAGGGAAGTCCCTCTCAGATTACCTTTTTATTTCTGTTCTCAGGAGAACTATGTGTAACTTGTTTAACCTTCCTAACAACTCAGCGATGTAGGTTCTATTATTATCTCTGTCCCATCAGCTAATCAGTATATGTGCTGGTGGCAGACATCCTCCAGCTCCAGGTGATGCCGGTGTGTAGTCAGGGTAGAGAACCACCCCTTTAAAATGTTCCCCTGGGCTTCCCTGGTGGCGTAGTGGTTGGGAGTCCGCCTGCCGATGTAGGGGACGCGGGTTCGTGCCCCGGTCCGGGAAGATCCCACATGCCGCGGAGCGGCTGGGCCCGTGAGCCATGGCCGCTGAGCCTGCGCGTCCGGAGCCTGTGCTCCGCAACGGGAGAGCCCACAATAGTGAGAGACCCGCGTACCGCAAAAAAAAAAAACCAAAAGGTTCCCCTGATGACTCCTTTTTTTTTTTTTTTAAAG